AAATCAACCTTTAGACAAAATTTATTTATACTATTTGTAATACACCCGTTACTATACATTTTCACGTCATTATGACGTGACGCATATTATTTAATTAATAATAAATTCATAAATTCATAATTATTTAATATTTTTTTTTTTTGATTATGATATTTATAGGTTAGATCGATAGATTCGCCACTTTGCGGCGTGGGTAAGGTGAGTAACTTTTTTTATTATTTTACATATTTTTTTTTGATTATAAATCAAAATCTAATGGCTTTTTTTCGATTTTGGTTAGGACCGATTCCGCCCTTTCAGGTGCGGCAACCTTTCAGCTCGTCACAGCGACGCAGTCAGGTTAGAATTGCAAGTAATAAATAATAGAAACAATAATAAAGAAAATTTCATCACACGCCTGACGATGCTCTGGGTTTCAAGGACAATAAGTCTCCGATATTAAAAATCGCGATTATTATTATTACAACAAAATAAAAAATTAAAATTAAAATTAAATTAATAAAAAAGTAAAAAATCGAAATAATAAAAAAAGATCGGAAGTGAAGGGGATAAAAAAAATAAAATTAAAAAGATCGGAGGGTGATAAAAAATGAAAAGATCGGGGGGGGGGGATAAAAAAAAAAAATAATAAATTAAATATAATCTGAGCGAAATTAAAATCGTCGTGATAGTGACTCCGGTATTTTTCATCCAAATTTCCACTGAGGAGGTGTGACGTTTTTTATAGTTCACTTATTTTTTTTTTCAATTTTTGTAGGTTAAGAATGATTCTACCCTTTCGGATGAATGCGAGTGCGGCACTTCAGACGGACCCTTCGGCTCGTCACAACGGCGTAGGACAAAATTTTCTTTTTATTATTCTTTCTATTGTTTGTTTTATTATTTAATCCATAGTATTTTCTAAAAGGCTTAGTTTAATTCGTAGCATCAAAACACAGCTCCGCCTTTATCCAAAAAGGAAGAATCCGATTTAGTCCTATAAAATAATAAAATATATTGTTGATTAATCAACTCAAGAAAAAAGACAAACAATAGAAAAAGAAGAAAGTGGGTTTTAAAATTCGAAAAGCATTGTAAATCTAAACGAGAATTAATGCTTTGGTTCGGTCATTGAAAAAAATCATAATCAATAAGGTAATGATGTTTATCAAAGTATCAAATTATATATTTTTTTATCAAAATTAACTAGTTATCTGGGAACCATTTTGTATTTCAATAGAAATCGTAAAATAGCGCTGAATTTTAGTTTTAAATTCGATTCTAAAAGACCATTCTGTGTCATACATCAAATAAATCAGTTTGCTTTTTTTCTATTTTGATTTGGAAATCTTTTTGCTATACAAGTTATTCGATCCAGATCTTCGTGATGACTTGCCGATTCAAAGATCACGCGGGGTATAGGAATAATACCAGAGGCATTATACATAACTCATTGCTAATCGAATTTCCGGCATTTTAGGTGCAACAAATCAAAGTGGAAATAGTCATGAAACATAAAGGTAAGACGCGAACTTTTCGTCCATATGTTCTGCAAGTTTTTTTTTCTTTCCTATCGAAATCGAAATCCTAGCTATGTGGATAAAAAATATAGTGTAGTTATTAATATAGAGAAAATTAATGTTCACCCGTGGTTTATTTTTAGAATGTATTCCGATAAATTTTCGATTGTTACTGACCGGATTTCTATGGTATGATACTTCCTATGAACGATAATTTCGATTTTTGGATGTAAGTTAAATGAGAGGTAAGTTATGTATTAATCGTTGACTCCTGCAAACATTAATGCTAACCTTCTGAGGATGTCCATGGGGTTTCTGTCAAGCCGAAAGACTAAACGGAAAAATAATTTCCGTGTTGATTCAGGGTTCATCATCCGCATCAAGGCCATAGCATGAAAGTTTCATTCTCGAACTTTCCTGTAAATACGGGCCCTAACCCCTTAAGAATCCGTTGGTCCTGATTTTATGAAGCAATCAAACTTACCGATCCCGTGTAAATCAGACGCTTCTTTTTTCCTTTTTTTTTGCAAATACAATTGAATAGGGGTAATGGCATCATTCTACATAATGAATAATGGAAATCCAATTTTTTTCCTTTTTTGAAAATACAATAGAATAGGGGGTAGTTGCATTAATTTGATCGGATCTTCTTTTTTGGCGCCAATTCATTAACCGCGCCTTCTTATTATTTTCAAAATTGGCAGTAAGTCAATGCCCCAATTACAAAAAAATAAAGTAACGTAATTTTTTTATCTTCAAAATAAATTGGGATTACCACGTGCAGTAAGAATAAAGTGTAAAAGAATCTCACTTGTCTAGCGCATTTATGCAAAAAAAAAAAAGAATAGAAGGTTTAAGTTTTTCAATTAAAATTGGCTAATCCTATTTTAATCAACGTAGAATAAGGTACTGGCGCTCTGTACGATCAGATACTATACAAGAATCGTCATCGTTACAAATAATTCAAGGACTAAGCTATTGAAAAGAATTAGAATTGATTAATACTTCTTCTAAATGTTCTATAGTTGAATTTAAAGACATAATGGCCCCATATTGAAACACATGCACTGATTTTAACCAAATTTAAACAAAAAATCATGTTACTATGATCCTCCAAATTCTAAAAACGTTTAAATTTAAGTAGTACACTTCTGTTACTAGTCAACAACCCAAAGAAACAGCGTAACCTTCAGAACTGGGTTGGATGGATTGTTTAAGGTCATTTGAAGTAAGGTCATTTGCTAACCCTATCGCCCGTAGTTATAACGTCTCTTCTCTCCTTCTGTGTTCGTAAAGAATGTCCTAGGAGCGAGCCTCAATTAACGATATTATAATTAACGTTAGTGTTGAAGGTAAGAATTACGTTGTTCTTCAACAATTCTCTTAACGAACCTAACACACAGATTACGATATCAAATAATATCGTCGAGGCAACGGAGGAATCCATGTCTGACTTATTAGTAATTCATCTGTTTAATCACATGGTCAACACGAGTGGTTGGCCTTCAAGTAATAGTAATAATAAATATGTCTTTTTTTTTTGTTATGAACTCTAATATTCTTAAGTTAGCAATACATCCAAAACTTAGTTATAAAGCTATTCATTCGTGATAAAAATAGTGGAAAACCAGGATACTGGAATGAATATTAATACATTTTTATAATGAGGAATACCTAGGGAATTTGTCAACTCTAAAGATCAAGTTATTTTAAATTTTCCGTTCCTAATTTTTTGGAGGAAGTCTCAAATTACCAGCTCTTAAAGAGAATAAAAAAAGAAAATTTACTTGGCAGCTTTTAAAAGGTTCATAATGATCAACATGAAACTAGATTAATATAGGTACAAGACAATCGGTCTATGCCGCAGTATGCTGCAGTTTTATTATTTAAAAAAAAAATTTGCGTTAAATATACAGAGTTCGGAAAATTACATCAATTAATTAAACAAAAAAAATAAAGAAACGTATATAATAGCAGTAGATGAAACTATACAGTCCAATGCCTAGGCTCATCTGTACGTATGTCGCGAAAGAAACTATAAGGGTATAACATAGCGGATAAATTTGTGTCGTGTATAGAATGGAATGAACGTGACGTATATAATGACAATAACGTCTTCGACCGCATTTTAGGAGATACGAAACAACCTTCAAGCGTCGAAAGTTCGTACTGATCACAGTATAATAGTAATGTTATTCGGTTGGATACAGTAGCAAATTCTGGCAAGCAATCCATAATTGCCAGTACATTGTAGGTATGCATAGGAAAAGGCTCTTAAAAAGATCGGAAGGTGTCACGCGCCAAATCCAGACCGTTTGATGACGTATCTAATGGGAAAAGTAACAAAGTATTCGCTCTCGATTTACCAAATAATTAAGTTTAGAATTTATCTTTTGAGAAAGATATATTCTTGTTGAACATCTAATTGTGCGTTTATTTTACTCTCTCATGTATGATGAATCCAGCTTTTAAATTCCCTTTTTAAATTTAACATATGATTTCATAAAGGTGATAGGCATCGGGAAGCTGGGATTTAGGGAAAATTAACTCCATTGAAAAAGTTGGTCTCGAATGTGCTATTTGTCGCTTGCTGTAGAGCTATTTGCGAAATTCTATTAAGAGTGTCAACGTTATTTGTCATGCGAATTTGCGATAGTCGTCTTCGGTTGATATTGTTTACGCTATTTGCTAAAGTTATAAATTGATATCTTTGAAATGTTGATAAACGGTGATTCCATATGCGTTTTGTTGCTAGGTCAATTATATATCGACCATACACATGTAATCGATTTGCTTCGTTTTGTATGTTTCGTTTCAATAAATCCGCCCCCTTTAATACTCGAATTCTATTACCGTTTCTTACTTGAACCGCAAGTAACTGTGCATTATTGTTATGAGGAGGAATAAAGATGTTGTTAAAATTCATACGAATTAAAAAATGATTTAGTATTGAGCGAATAGAACGTTGATGATATATATGATATATATGATTCATTTTAGAATGAAATTTTTTATTTTTTATTTTTTATCTATCGTAAATCTTGGATTATTATATATATGAATTCATCTCTATTTGAGTGGTCAGTTGACCGAAGAATATTATGGTTCAAATAAAAAATTCCCTAGATGGGCGAATTTCATGACAGGTTACACATACAGCACATGTTCTATGGTGGATAACAAGCTACAGGAATGCCCCATCCGATATCATCGCGTTAAGTCAAATTGCATCTTTGAAAATGTATGGAATATTGTTTAAATAGTTCGTGTTTTTCCCTTTGTTATATGATAATTTTTTTAGATTTAGAAATTTCATTATATGCAAGAAAGACAATTCCTTGAATTGATGCCGCAAATCTTAATATTGTTTGCAAAAATGATCTGCAATACAACAAATTATCTTTATTTTTTCCATTATCATTAATTGTGTTTCTTTCCTTTTTAATTTTTCTCATTTATTACCTTTTCATGTGATAAAAATTCTGAAACGCTTAAAGTATATGTGGTAATGCAAGTTTTTTAGCAATAAAAAAAAAAATGAAATGAAATGAAGATAAAAAGAGAAAAGAAAAATATTAACCCTGATGTCACGAATCCCATATGGAAGTTTAATCTTTGCGACCTTCTATAAACTAATCTTGCCAAATGAAGAATTAATTAAGATAGTTTGATATAATTGATTTAAAAAGATGTATAGAGAATATGCTGTAATGTTGTTAAATTGATGTATACTGTAGAGAATATAATTTTAGGTTGGTGTATACTGCAGAGAATATAATGTTGGATTATTCAATATTCCAATTTTTTTTGTAGAAGATATAACATTTATTATTGTATACAAATGAATAAAAATTCATACTTTTTCAAAACCTTATAATTTTCTTTTTATTTAATAAACAAAAATTTTATGTATAAAACAATATAATAAATAACCATTTCATAATTATCTCATCCTATATTCTTTTGGTTTTTCAAAGAAGTCTGGAGTATTGTTTAATGCAAAATACATTTGCCAGTTCTCATATTGTAACATTTCTAAGATTGCAGATTTTTGTGAATTCTCATGTCTACCATCCTTAAGTGTATTTTAAAAATAAAGACAAACTTGCAATGATTCTTTTTTTTTACAGCTGAGCATGAAAAGGCTGTTAATTCAAATTCATGATAAATTTCAAGAAATTCAGCAACATGATTAAAGTATATAGAAATACATAGAGATTCGAATCAGGTCAGATCAACCTGTTTATCTGACCTGACCTGACCTAAAAATTCAAGTCAAATCAATAGATTTTCAGATTGATGTTAGGTTAGGTCAACAGATCAATCTGACCTGATCTGATCTGATAAAAATTCAGGTTAACTAATCATTCTTTTTGAATGATTTATTATCGTTAAATTAGAAATAATAGTGTTAATTAAATAAATTAATAATTGTTTATTATATTATTATTTATATTAAATATATTTTGATATTATTTAACAAGTAAATAAGAAAAATTTTCTTTTTGAATCAGGTCAGGTCAGGTCAGATAAATCTGACCTAACAGGTCAACCAATCAAATTATATATAGTTGATATATTAAAATTT